TTATTTTCAAATCATATTAAAATCATTAAAAATGAAAAGAAAAAAAAAATCTCATCTCTCTCCCTTTCGTCACCCACCTCCCCCCCTCCAAACCCAACTTTTTCTCTCTCTCTCTCTCATTCTCCCTCCCAACCCACCCCAACTTCTCCAGAAAGCTCATCCTTCTTCTCCTCAAATTTAAACCCATTTTACAACAACATTAGGAAATACAAATCGTGAAGAAACTTGGAAAAGAAGAATATTGGTAAAGTACTGTGATAGGTTGATTTCCAAATTACCACATTTGAAACAAGATTAATTTTTGCAGATAATTCCTCTTGATTAATTATCAGTTTCTGGGTAAACTGATAAACCCAGAAACAAGATTAATTTTTGGAACAAAATGATAAAGTTCAAACAAACATAAAATTGAAAAAGAACATTGCCCAAAAAGGCAGATCCTTCACCAATAACAAACGACTATCAGAACACAAAAAACGCAGATAATTCTTCAAATTTAAACTCATTTTGCAGATCCTAATATTGTTCTAGCTCCGACGAGATCTGAAGAACGACGACGAGCTCGCGAGGTCTTGAGAACATTCCCAATGCCGTGTTACGAAGACCCAACCACCTAGGTTTTGCAGATTAGCCTCGTTCATTCTCGACAAGAAGGACCAAGAACAAAACGACGCCCCATCGGCCTTGAAACCCAACTCCCTCACTCTCTCCCCGCCACCACAATCCTCATCCATGGCCGACCCCTCGCAAAGCCCTAACCCTAAGATCTCGGCCTACTACCAAACCCGAGCGGAGCACCACGATATCGTCACGAGCGACTGGCTGGCCCAGGCTCAAGCTGCCGTCTGCCAGAACCCCGACGAACAAGGTCCAATCGTCAGCGAGGTTGAAGCCAAACCCGATTCTGCTTCCGGCAAGCGGAGACCACCACGGTTCGAAGCCGTCTTGGGGAGGCGGTGATTTGCGAGGGGTCGTCGGGGAATGCGAACGAGCAGAGCGATCAGCAATCGCCGTTCTATTTCCAGCTGATGTGAGTGATGGACTTGCTGGACTCGAATCTGGAGGGGAAGGCGAAGCTGTACAGATCAACCCAGAGAGAGAGAGAAAGTGTGTGTGTGTTTTAAAAATAATTTAAAAATAATTTAAACAGTAAAATAATTTTTTATTAATTTTTGGTCCACGTGGAAGTCCAAGTCATTAAAAAAATGGGTACCACTTTTGACACGTCGGCACATAACGGATTTCATGACGGAATCGCTAACGGAGGGGGCGATCTGTAATTTTTTGCGACGTTGTGTATGTACCCATAAATGTCCACAAAATCGGAAATGAACTCATAAATGACCCTATAGGTTAGGGGGTTTACTGTAGTTTGTCCTAAATCATATAACCACGCTAGTTCGTCAATGGGGTCTAGCCCAATGGAAAATGACATTGACTTCAAGACCATTGGTCTTATGTTTGAACCCCTATGACACCTTGATAATGTGTGTGTGAGAAACCCCTCTCCCACTTGTAGTTTAGACTGTTGCTTGTATTGTTTTGTTATAAAAATAAAAAAATAATAATAATAAAACATACACTAGTTCATAGTTCATTTGACTAATTTCCAATAAGTTTTTTCCTTCTTATATAAGCGATATTGGATGAGTGGGAAATCGAACTTAGGTCCTGGAGTGCAGAGCTAAATGTTAATTTCCAATAAGCTTTAAATTAAAACAAATACGCAAAGGACCCACTGGTATAGTGGTTTGGAGCAATTACTCCCCCATGCAAGGTCTTGGGTTCGAGTCCGAGTATCAGTATAGTGTGTATGAGTTTAGTACATTATCGCCCCTCTCAAAAGGAAATGTCCTAAAAAAAACTTAAAACAAATACATATTAAATGCAACCAAAAAACACATATTATCAAAATGAAAATATGTTCAACAACATAATTGAAAGTGTACCCATTTTAATGTGTATGTTTATTAATGCTCTCCAACTAAATTGACTTAGACTTTTTTGGACTTTAATAAGTTAGTACATATTGGGCTATATATAAAACAAGTTATATATAGCCCTGGGAGTAGTTTCACCCTTGCCTTAGTTGCTCATTACATGTCGCTATTGTTGTGATTTGGCTCACCATAATGCGGGAAGAAGAAGAGGAATCAAGGTGCTGCATGAAGAGGAGCAGCAAGAGAGGAGAAGAAGTTGCAGGATTTGGCAGCAACAAGAAAGCTACCGGTCAGTGTGGCTAGCCGACTGGTTGGATTTTGGCAGAGAGGCTCGAGTCGTGAATTTTGCTCCAGGCGACCTGTCACCTAATCTTGACGAACAATCAGTGCGTGAGTAGTCTCATGCGTGTTTTGGAGTTTTGGTGAGTTTTGATGTGTTAGCCTATTTGTTTTGGGTTTCTTAGCCTAATCTAGTAGGGTTTTGGTTTCCTATTCTTAGTAAACTTGTAACCCAAGTCCTATATTCTATAAATAGTACTTTTGGAGCTAGGTTAAATAGAAGACGCCAATCACAACATAATTCTTGGGAAGTTTACTAGGGCATCAAAGGGTTTGAGCGAAGGTGTGTGAGAGAAATTAAGACCTAGGGTTTGATATAGAAAGCTAAGGCGGTTTTCCTTGTAAACAAAAGTTGTTCTTATTGTTCTAGTGAAATTTCTCAGGGCTATCATTAGAGAGGACATAGTCAGGTTGCCGAACCTCTATAAATCTTTGTGTTCTTGTGTGTTTGCTTTATCTCTCTTCGTGGTGTGTGTGTTTATTTTTCTTGTGGTTTTATGCGTATATGTTGCGTAATCCATCAACGACAAAGTCTTAAGGTGTTTCCACACAATAATTATTTAATTAAATTTCATACCAAAATAGAAAACATAACCAAAAAAAAAAAAAAACCAAAAATGTCTACAAAAATAGATGAGGCAAAAGGGGGCATGCCACTATAATAGACTCCCCTTTTGTTTCTCCCCTTACATATTCTCGGTTTCATATACATGCACTCCATGCTGCAAGGCAGACATCAAGAGTATGCTCTTTCGTTTACATGTCCCCTCACGGGCGGTCGCCTAGACCTGTTGCCTTTCACGCATCTACTACTTCATCATAATTACTCTTTCCACGTTTTTCTAATTTGATCATGATTTCTCATGCCCGTTCTTCTCATCTTCATACCCTGCTGCCCTCCTACTTCTCCCTATAAAATATGGTTCTAGCAAGGAACCTTCATAATGTATATCTAGACCTTGATAGGATCGAGTGGCCAAAAATACTGCAATAGATTTAGCTGTTCCTTTCACTGTAGAATTAGGGTTGTCATGCAATTGCAGAGCCTTCTCTGTCGCATTTGCTAAAGCAAGAGTTCCTTCCTTATCTTCCTCAGTACCATTCCCTGGTTTTGCAACAATTTCAGAACTTCCAAGTTTGAAATGTCTACCATTATAACAATCTTTTTGGCAAAACGAAGTAGCTTTTGTCTCACAATATCTAAATGAATTCAAATTTAAACAATACGTGCAAATGAAGAAGAGAAAAAGCATTAGAACAAACCTAAACAGTTCACCAATGTAATTATTTACATGTGTGTCTCGAACAATAAATCCCAATTAAACTTTGTTTTGCCCTTCACTTTTTATTTTTTATATAAGAAACATAGCTCTTATTAAAAAAAAATTATAAGTATTTGACTTACACTTGTACAATTAAAGCCCAAATCATGTACTTGGACCAATTAGCTTTAATTTTGGATACGTAAAAACTAGGCTTAAACACTTGGTTAATGATCCTGTTGAAGAATTCTGGGGTTACAATATCAGCCACCGACGAACCACCACTACCATTGGTCCTTGGTGTGGTAGTTGTGCTGCCACCGCTGCTAGTACAAGAGCCTTCTTTATAACCCTGGCCCCAGTAACCATCGCCGGTGCCGCAGTTGCCATACTGGCTACAACATATCTCTGGGGCACAGCCACAACTTTGTGCTGTCAAATTTTTTAGCACTACTCCAGCTACATAGAATAGGGCAATGACGCTTACAAGGTGTTTTATTGTATTGTAGAAAGCCATTTTGGTGAAGCGCTTAGTGAAGAATGAGAATGAAGGTCAAGATTTGTTGTTGGATATTTATAAAGAAACATAGAGTTTGAAATACACATAATAACTTCCCTAGAAATTCATTTTCCGATTTGTGTTTGTCAGCAATCGCGTATGACTTGAGTTATCCTTGACTTGCATGTGGGACGTGCAAATTGGTTTCGGTGATAATTAATCAAGCTATTATTAATTTACCTACTTATGCTGTCCAAGTTCTTTAAATAAATAAAAGATAAAGTCATGCCGTCCAGGAACGAATATGTATTCAATTCAAACTTTTAATGATTTTTATAAAGTTTAAAAGTTTGGAGGTATTCAATTTAAAAAAGTCGTAAATCTAAAACCTAACCTCTTGTTTGGTTCACGGAACGAATTTAAGGGAAAATCATTTTCCACGTCATTTTCCAAAAGATGGAAATGAAAATTCATTTCCCAAATTTGGTAATCCTGATAAAGTAATCAAGAAATACCACTTCATTTTCTTTCACATATTTGTAGAAATGTAAAACAAAATTTGTTTAATTTTTCAATTATATCCATATGAAACCAAATGAAAAAATAATGCAATCATGTTAAATTATAATTTTAAATTGTTAATAGGGACAATATGGTCATAAAAAATATGTATTTAATATTGGCTCATTTTCCCAAATTTTCCCATGAGGAAAACAAAACCCAAGGAGAGAGAAAGGCTTCACTTTCCCCGTACTTTCCTATGTGCAAAGCAATTGATTTCCCAATCCCAAGCCTTCTTTCTCATGAACCAAACGGAAAAAATAATCTATTTATTACTGTTTTTAGTTTTTATTTTATGAGTCAACCTGAATAGTCTTTTCTTCCCACACATTTAATTGTATCTCTTCTCGCTATCTTCTCATTTTTCTTCTATATCTTTGATGAAAAGTACCCAAAAAATAAAAAATAACGCCATCAAACAGGACCTTGGTTGCTCATTACATGTCACTATTTCATTAAATTACATACCACAATAGAAAACAGAACCAAAAACCCAAAAATGTCTGCAAAAATAGATGAGGCAAAAAGGCATGCCTCTAATAGAATCCCCTTTTGTTTCTCCCCTTACACAGTCTCATCATTGGCAAATAGCTGCGCTCCATGCTGCAAGGCAGACATCAAGAGTATGCTCTTCCATTTACCTGTCCCCTCTCGGCTGGCTGCCTAGACCTGCTGCCTTCCACACATCTACTTCTCCTTAAGGGCACATCCTCAAGCACCACTTCATCATAATTACTCTTTCCACGTTTTTCTAATTTGATCATGATTTCTCATGCCCGTTCTTCTCATCTTCATACCCTGCTGCCCTCCCACTTCTCCCGATAAAATATGGTTCTGGCAAGGAACCGTCATAATGTATATCTAGACCTTGATAGGATCGAGTGGCTAAAAACTCTGCACCAGATTTAGCTGTTCCTTTCACTATAGAATTCGGGTTATCACGCAATTGCAGAACCTTCTCTGTCGCATTTGCTAAAGCAAGAGCTCCTTCCTTATCTTCCTCAGTACCATTCCCTGGTTATACAACAATTTCAGAACTATCCAAGTTTGAAATGTCTACCCTTATAACAATCTTTTTCGTAAAACAAAGTAGTTTTAGTCTCATAATATCTAAATGATAAACAGTTTTCCAATGTAATTATTTACACGTGGGTCTCGAACAACAAATCCCAATTAAACTTTGTTTTGCCCTTCACTTTTTTATTTTTTATAAGAAACATAGCTCTTATTAAAAAAATTATAACAGTACAACGTAAGTGAACAAGGAGTCCATTTCTGAAAGAAAACTACACATAACCTGTGCATCATAACCTCAATCCTAAAGGAAAACATAAAGACAACAGAAATTTCATAGGACTGCAAAACAGATGCTTTCCAATCAGACTAGATAGCAGGAAAATATAGCTCCTTAAACTCCGAATCTACAGATGCCCACAAAGAAGCCCAGAAACACATCCTATCCCATAAACATTCACCTCCTCGCCCCCAAATATGCTACTATTCTTTTCAACCGATAGAACCCAGAAAATTTCCATCATAGCACTACTCAGCTCAACTACAAACCCTTTTATTTCCACCAAAAAAGTTCAACTTCTCAGATAATAGCACATTATATGGCGCTGTGATGGACCAGCATAAACCTGTCCTTAATTGACCGAGACCACAACGAAAAAGCCAGTGGATAGTGCAATATTTGATCCATGCTTCTAATGAGGATAGAAGCTTAAGACAAATATGGACTTAAAGCATAGATTTCTTTGCTCTAAAAATCAATCTAAGGTAAGAAAAATAAATTAAGCTAATCATCCAAATGTCTTTTAAAAAGGGGAGGGGCGAGGGAGAAGGTGCATACAGTATCCTTCATTTCTCAGAGACACACGAGTCACTTTATATGTTGAAAGTCTTCTATTTTTTCACTCAATGATGCCATAACAATTGCATAAATTAGAAAAATAAGAGAACTACCTTGCGGATCAAAATCTTCTACATAACCACCTTGCAAGAAGGAAAATCGTGCTTCTTCAGAAAAGTTCCTTGATTCCACTGGAGAAGAATTAATCAAATCGCGGAATTCCATTACATATTCTCCAGTCCACTGACATCCTCTGCGGTGAGAATTTGAACTTTCAGTGGTCAGGGATAAACGAGGAATGATAACTAGCTAATTAATTCATCTTGTCAATGCACATCTTAGGTGTATTTAAGGTATACTAATTTGAATCCACACCTTAGGAATATGTAATAACAGATCATCTCATGTGAGGGATATCAAGTAGCAAGTAGTTCATAAGACAATGAGCAAATATGGAACCATTCTATATACAAGGAACCTAAGTTCATGGCACTGAATGTACGATATAAGTATGACCTTATTTAATGCGGTACCTGTTGAAAGCTAGCATGGCTTCGAAAGGTGTAATTACTGGAGCTAAATATTCTTTGCTATCCAGAAGAGCAGTTTGGGCACAAGAGACATAAATGAAAATATCACACTGCCACGAATAAAAATCTACAATTAACTTATTAGAACTTCAAATACTCTAAATTCCATATGAACACATCTACTTGCATGTATCAGACCTCAGGAAAGTTGGCAAGTTTTGCAGGGTTTGGTCTTCCCATAACTAGAGTATAGACTTTTTTCCCTGCTCCTGTAATCAGCACTTTCATCTGATGAATCATATTCAGGTAACCAGCTGCATCATAATTGCCAAAAAAGTTAATTAATTTTCTAGGCTCTCGGTTATGCATCAGTAAAAGAATGTGCCCTTAATTGAATTTCGTTTTTTCTTTTTCTGAAAGGATCCCAACGTAATTGAAATTTAAGATAGAGTAATTTAAAGTCCTTGAATGGTACATAATAAGATGTACCCATACTGAAATGCGAAAAGAAAAACAAAACAAAACAAAACAAAACTTTTCATGATTATCATGATTAATTACAGAATGAATTACCAGATTAGAACTGAGATGGAAAAGGAAAAAATAAAACACAAAATACCGGCACATACAGAAACACTATGGGTATAGTGTGAAATTAACCAACACATGGTTCAATATTGAAAAACTAATTTCAAGTGAAAAAAAAAAAAACAAAAACAAAAATCAATGATCTCCAATAGCAAGCTGTGCATTACAAGAACTATTCAAACTGATTGCTCAATTTCAACACAGTGGATTAATAAAAAATAAAGACTAGAGGATCCCACACAAGAACTCACCTACACCAAGGGTTCCTACTAAGATCCCAACAATGTTAGCATCCTTTGCTTTCTCCATTAGGTAATATCTGGATGAGAGATTGCTCACACAATAAATCATATGAAAGAAGAGCATGACAAGAATAAAACACATGGTGGAAGGAACACACGGTCTATCATGTCACAATTATTGTGCTTGTTAGAGCAAAGATTAGTGGAAACAGGGAACAGTACAAAGATTTTGGAGATAATACCTGCGCTTAAGAATCTTTCTTTGTTGAGATAAGTCAGTCACCATACTGCATTCCGAGGCATCATATCTGACTAAAACCAAAACCACCAAAAATTATAAACAAGATTGAGTAAGAAAAATTGAATAATCAATAGCATATCAATTTCCACATACTAGGTGCTTTAAGAAAATTAACTTTTTGAACTTGAAAATCTTAATCTGGCTCCTTATCTTCTTTCCCACAATTAATCAAGTTTCTATTCGTAACCAAGAAAACAAAAATGACAGGACCAATTATCATATTTTCATATTATTCCCTGAGTTCCTTCTGTCAAATATTGGACAAACTAAGGGAGAACCGTAAGTGGCCTGAGTTCATTTACCAAGTAAAAAGACTTCATCCTACTTTGCGAACAGGACTTGTGGGGAATTGGTTACTTTGGGATACATATAATATAGGATTTTTCTCTTATCCGGACGACCAGATTGTTTAGCATGCGGACTCCAATGTATGCAGGTGTGTTTCATTGTAAAAAGTGATGTGAAGATGCATACTTCTACAGCACCGACTGGATATTTTTATATAGCAGCGTAGTGGCTGATTTGGCAGCATATAATAAGATGAGAAAACTGAAATTCTTCTCTCATCCGGACGTCGGCACGTTATTACCGCTCGGACTCCATTGTAAACAAGGAGGAAAGCAGAGAGGGGTAGTAAAAAATATATGGCGTCTGCACATTAATAATGTCCGGACGTCCGCATAGAAGATAATCTGTATATATATGTGTGTGTGTGTGTGTGTGTGTTGAGTATTTACTTTTCGAAGACATGGTACATGAGTGGCTAGAGTCCTAGACACTTTGATTGCCTCGGTCAGAAAAGGAGAAAGGGGAACGCAAACAGCTATTTGCCTAAATGGAAAATATCAAATGTGTGTGCACTACAGATATGATGCATCCATCATGATAAATGTATAGAGAAAAATATTCCTCTTTATTTGTGCAAAAATGAAATCCACCAATATATAGAAAAAAGAAAACGAAAGTCCAAGAACCACCACATGTATGATACATGATGTATGGGACTATATGATGTATCTGAAACAGCACAACTCATCAGAAAAAAAAAATTGTTTGAGGACACAAGAAAACAGAATATGAGATGCACTCGCACATGCATGTATACATACTCAAACAAAATGTACAACAAAAGAAAGTAGTGGTTTATACACCTTTTTTTTTCAATAGAAACTTTATAAATTCAAAGAAACAAGCAAGTGGATAAGGAATCCACAAGAGAAAAACAAAAGAAAGCTGAAACCTCAAGACCAAAACAAACAAAGGAAAGTAGTTTATGTACCTATTTCACAGCCATTATATGTCAAAACAATATTTGCAAAGGCAGAGTTATTAGAACCAATCCAGAAAAGTAAGTAATCGTCCATCTTGTGTCCCTCAGGCAATTTCCAGACCAAGCCTCCAATGCTATACGTATTAGCAGATACTGTCCCAAAACTATTATTATCAGTGAGGCTGCCAGATGTTCCCTGGACCTTATTTGAGACTTTACGACCTTTTGATGGATTCATAACTGAGCAAATAACATTAGCATATTGAACTTCTGGTTTGGATTCAGCCCCGCATACTTCTGCAAATTTTTCTCTGATATTCTGTATTGAATGTGCATAATCCAGCCCAAAAAGGACCTACATATGGATAGAAAGTCAGATTTGGTAAACTAATCAAAAAATAAAATGTACTTGGTCTCTTATAGAAAATTATGTGCATAGACGATAATCTACATTTCAATATTAAATAACTGAATGATGGGTAGAATAATGCAGAGTATAAAGGAGAAAGAAGATTGAGAGAGAAAGAAAAAAATGATGGGTAGAAGGACGATGAGGTTGCTGCAGGAGACAATCTTTCTCTCATGCTGAATGAACAACGCTGAACACTGACTCGATCAAGTGGTAAGCTGATGGGTAGAAGGGCTACAAGTTTAATACCATTTTGTCACCTTGAGCCAAAAATTAACTCATTACTCATGCAATGGGATACAACTAGAATTCATCTGTTTTCATCTCCGTTCTTTTCTTTTCCCTCCTTCGAAATAAAAATAAAAATAAAAAATTTACCAAATTTAAATTCAACAGAAGAAAAGAAGAAATTATGGGCTACAAATTCATCCTCAATATCCTACTCCTCAGAATAATTGATCTTCAAATCAAGTAAGAATATCATTTAAGTTGCATATCATCTATTGTTTTAACTTCCATATCCATAATCTCTTCTTTCTTTGATTACAGCCATGATTTCTAGCACTTGATGATCTAACTAGAATGATGACTCAGTATCAGCCAAAACATTTAAAAACTGCCCATTTAATCAAATCCTAATGAATCTAGAAGTGAAAAGTGAACAAAGATCATACCAAAACCCGCCTCCCATTTGGAAAAGCATAATGCGATAGATTCTTCACACAATCAGGCACACTAATTGGAGTCTTCCCAAAAACAAAGAATGCTGGAAGCGTCGAGGTCCTGCCAACAAAACCCAACTAAGAGAATGAGCCTTCAACAACATACACAATAAAACTCAAACCAGACTTCAACCATAAATTACTTCCAGTACAGAGCACTCACGGGCTGAGGCACGTGTGGCCGTAATGAACAACAGCATCAGCATCCACGTGCGATGCTCCCACCTCGTCCACACAGCAACTACCGTAGGCCGTGTCCGCCATCACGAACAAGCCCACTTCCGGGGCATCGTCGTTTTGCTCGGCGTTGGATTCCCTCAGTGTGCGAAGCTTGGCCCTTAGCGCACTCACAACTCTCACCGCGTCCTTCAGAAGTTCGTCAGGGAACTGAGACGACATTCAATTCAATACAATTCAAGTCGATGTTTGGTTTCCCAGGGAAAAAAAAAAAGCAAACAAAAGAAAAATAAAATTGAGAGGAAAACAAGACGCAACAGGAAGATTGAAGAACTCGTACCTGTAAAGCGACTCTGGTGAACTTGTTGCTCTGAATGAACTCGGCCGTGGGGGCGATTTCGTAATTCGATTCCAAGTCCATGGCTGAATGAATTACTGTGAAAGAAGAAAGAGGAAAAAGATTTTTCCTTTTTTTTTAATCGGCTTGGAAGAAGCCTCCTTGGAACAGTGGGACTGTAGGAGTGACTATTTGACTATGAGAGAACCGAATAAGAAGAAGAAGAAGAAGAAGAAGAAGGGGAAAGAGGGAACTCAAGAAGGGGGAATGGCGGCTAGAAATGGACACACAATAATTTTTCATTGTGATTTTCTAATGGGCTGCGCGGGTAGTGTTCAAAAGCCCACTTCCTAAGTAAAGGGCTTTCAGACCCCAAAAAAAAAAAGTGAAGGTCTTGTATTTTTCAACAATACTGTTATTTGTACAATGTTTATACTGCCGACCAGCTCCCTAAGACATTATACCCATGTATTTGTAACAAACAATAGTACCTATGAATCAAGGAAAATGGAATGGCTTTTTTATTTATTTAGAAAATTAGTTAAATACCTATTCCTAGACATGGTTCTATAAAGAAACCCAATACCATTCAATGTATATAAACACACCAAAAAAAAACCCAACTAACGGTTGTTACAATTTTTTAGTTTAATTAGTTAAATCAAATACCTTTATTATCCTTTTAGTATTAAATTAGTTTTTTTGAAAAATTCTGGGCTCTCTCTCTCTCTCTCGTCTCTCTCCTTTCGCAAAAACCAGGTCGGCCAGTTTTGGCCGACGATCTTGGTGCTCCGGCCACGGCTAGATGCGTGACTGGTCGGAAAATGACTAGAGGAGGCCAGCAAACCATGCTTGAGCCCAGCCTCATTTCGCCGTCGCGAGCTCCAAGAACCTTCGAGGGTTTCGAGTTTTTCGACACCTTTTTCGACTATTCCGGCGGCCGTTGTTGCCGATCCAAGTATGGATTTCGATCCTCTCCTCATGCTATTGCTGATAGTATAGTTATTTGATATCAATTTTAGCTTTTGAGAGCGTGAAAACGTTGTCGTTTCACTCCCTGCCTTGCATTCAGCTATTTAGTTGCAGCCACAGAACTAGAACACGTACATTTGTACCTGTCCTGCACAAGTTGTCCCAAAAAAGGAGAAAAAAGGAGTAAAGAGAACAAAAATGGAAGTAGATTCTCGAAATTAGATTTTGTTCTTTGTGTTGTAGTTGCCTTTGGAATATTTGCCTTCCGTCCATCTTTTGGCACGTCATTATTCTTCAACAAAGGTTTCGTTAGTATTATTAGACTTTCACATAAAGCCTATCTCATGCATGATGCTATCCAGTGATGATATCTGCAGATTATTTAGGACTGGTTCACTGCATAATAGATAAAACTAAACTAGATCATGAAACGTGTCTTAAATTCGACATTAAGTCGGTTGTATTCAGAAGATTATGTACCACCAAATTCAACCTTGATAGATTTACTGAAACCTGAATATCCCAATCCACTGAACTGAGTCATATATCAAGATACCTCAGCAAGTCCAATCCTATATGCATATATATATCAGAAGACTAGTCGTATTCTCCTCACTGTTCATAAGTCATATGCATTATGGAGGTAAAAGTTTTTTATTCTTTCATCCTCGAATCCCAAACAGAAAGAAAGTCTTTCAATCCCCATGGATTTGCAAATGGGGGTTGCCCACAGTGCAGCCAAAGCCATCTTTATCTTTGAATTATTCTCTCTTTCTCTCCTCCTTTTTTACTATTCCACCATGCATGAGGGTACAAGGGGCTGGATACTGATAAATTCTATGTCATGGGCTCTTATTAGACCAAATGCTTTCAACATGATAATTCTCATTTCATGACTGTCAATGGCCACATTTGGCTATGATGCATCATGAGTACCAAAAATTCTGAATGTCAAGACCTGCAATTATTGTTGAGATGGAGTCATTCTCTGTATTTTTATCATTGTTGAGTATTGATTTTGAGTGGTACGATGTAGTCGTTAACTTCCAGCAAGTGGTATGAACAGTTGTTATATTGTTCATACCATGCAATTGAGTTGATTTCTATAACATAATATTAACAATATACTTTTATGACATAGTATTAATAGATTTTCAGTAACAAAGCATGCTCTATATTTTGCTCTATATATAGTTGTGCACTTGAAGTTTATGATATGCATAATGTGATTTTTACTAAGGAGATAGTTCTATGACATAGTATTAACAATGTACTTTTTTTTTTCTTGTAGATGTATTTCCTTTTGCTTTTGCAATTGTTTTTGGTGAAATTATGGACAATTGGAGGTGGTTTCTGCAAAGGATATCGGATGTCTTGTTGGGCTATTTTGGATTCTTTTTTCTTTTTTCTTTTTTTGGATTTTTTTGTAAGAAATGATATTAACAATGTAATTCTATGACATGGTAATAACAATGTACTTCTATGACATAGTAATAACAATGTACTTCTATGAGATGGTATTAACAATGTACTTCTATGATATGATATTAACAATGTACTTCAGGCTTGTTGGGCTTATTTTGGGTTTTTTTAAAGTTTTTTGTATTGGACTTGTTTTAAGTTTATCAATGACAATCATGTAATTTATAGGAACTTTAACACTCATTTTTTATGTGGTAAATGAATTTTGGGTGTGTTTCTAAAGTGCATTTCATGTGGGGTTTTTTTTTATAATTTCAGCTCCTATTTTGGGTATATTAGTGAAGCTCCCTTTTTTTTTTCCAAAGTTTGAAAGAGGAGGAGGAAACTCACATACTATGGGAGCTTGAACCCAAGATCACTTGAGATTACACAAAATCTAGACCGATTCAACTAACATGTGGCATCTTTTACCCTCTACATTTCTTAATGGAGCTAAACTTTATGAGCAGCATTTCTTAATGGAGCTAAACTTTATGAGCAGCCTTATGTGAGAGCATGAACCCCAGCCTTTTATAGATGAAAATATCTTATAGAGTTCCACCCATTATGAAGTCTATAACATATATAATAACTTGATCATCCACATCTTGATAGACAACTTTAGTTCATATTTCTAAAGTGGTGTTTGGTTCATGAGAAATGAGACTCGGGGATGAGAAATCAATTGTTTTCCCATGTTTGGTAAGTCTAGGCATCGGAAATGGTTATCTGGCACATCGGAAAGGATAATGCTTCCCTTCTTATCCATAAGGAGGAACTCCTCCTTACCTACTAATATGGCTTAGCCACAAATTGACACGTGTGAAATTATATGGATATAATTGGAAAATTAGACAAAGTGTGTTTTACATTCCTACGCAAACTAAATATGGGAAATGAAATAAAAGTGGTATTTCTTGGCTACTTTCCCAGCATTATCAAACATGAGAAAAAAATCTTATATTTTTCATCCCTTGAAAAAAGACATGGAAAAATTTCTCATCAAATCTTTTTCGAGAACTACAAAAGGGCTAAGAAGTTAAATGAATAAGGAATTTCACAAGGTCATAGTCCATGGACCATAACTTACAAACTAAGTAATTGTTCCCATATCATGGCGTAACCCTGAAAGTCAAGAATCCAAAATTATATATATACTAAAACTGAGTTCAGGAATTCACTGTTCCTAGACTGTAGCTCAGGAATAGTAAAGTGACGATTTTGCCCCCACTTAAGTGATGGTTTGCTTCCTTGAGCTGACTTATGAACAGTGGATTGGCTGTTATGCCCTCCAGCCCTGTTTTCTTTTCTTCGTTGGAGTCGCTGAGTGAGAGAAGGAAAACCTCATCTCCTTCATCGCAGCCCTGTTCTTTTCTCTTCGTGGGAACTGAAGTTCCCAATCAGTTGCTCGACTTCGTTGGCGTAGCAGAGGGAGGGAAAACTCTATGATGAGAGAAGTCCAACCATCTGGTTTTGCCTTTCGTTGGAATTGTTGGGGGATGGGAGATATTTTTTGATTGGCTCTTTCTCCCATGAGAGCTTCACTGTTGAAGCTTGATCTGGCTTTCTTGCGGCCGTTTATTTCGTTTGTGGCTGCTATGGTGCGAATATCGTCTTCTTCTTCTTTCCTTCGTTTGTGCCTGTGCTGGTATTTGTCTTCTTCAATTTTTCAGATATGTCTTTCTTTTACTCTTCTTCTTTTTTAATCGCGTCTTCTTTTGATGTTTTGTAGGTAGTCTTTCGACCGACGGTTCTGATGCCTCACCCGTTGATTCAACGACAGCCATCCGACGATGACATGATCAATCGTCTGGGACCAGAGGTCTCTCCGAGGATTTCAAACAAAAAATTATTAAGTAGGCAACATCTCTCTCTCTCTCTCTCTCTCTCTCTCTCTCTCTCTCTCTCTACTTGAGCATGTGGATAATGAACCCTAGGAGCTTAATATCTGTATGCATCTAAAAGGAAATATGATTAGGAGTTGATATTCTGAACAAATCGACCAGTCTCTCAGCTGGAAGGTAAAGATGGTTGGTTCAATATAAGATCATTCAAACAAAAAATCTGATTTAACACTCTATAAAATATGTAGAAACCTACTTACCCTCTATTTGTTTGCTAAGAAAATGCAAGAAAAAAATAGAAAATTTCATCTTTTTAAACATTTCACTGTTGTTTTGTGGGTAGGAGTTCAATAATTATGCTTATAAGAGCGTTTGAGGTCACCCACTTAATAGCATTGGTACTTTTTATTGAAATCACTTGGGTTTCTGTGGAAACTCAAGAACATAAAGGCAAAAGTTTGAGTCTTTGTTCTATAATTATGTCGGATTGAAAATTTGGTGCCTTTTTTCTTTCTTGCATGTGCTTGGAATTACAATGAAAATTTCCTTTCATTGTTTTTTGGTTGTTGAAGGGTTTGAGCATGAGGAAAAAGGTGATTTTGCAACCTCACCAAAGCATTTCAGGTAAGAACCATTTGGACCAAAATTAAGCCTTTTGTTTTGTGGTTTATCATATGATTGGGTTCTATGTTTCAGCTTATGGATTGGTTCATGGTGGATTTGAATTGGCACGCAGAGTTGCTTGGGTGAAGCTGATGACTGTGTGCATTAGACCCGTGTCTTAGGGAAACAAGAACGGTGAGCAATCCCACATCGCTCGGGGAGGGAAAGGTGAAGTGCTTAAATGTGTGGGCACTTCTCTTCCTAGCACGAGCCCTTTTGGGAGCTTACTGGCTTCTGATTCTTAGGAACTCCGAAGTTAAGCGAGTTGGGGGCTAGAGCAATTCCAGGATGGGTGACCCACTGGGAAGTTGCTCGTGAGCTCCCAGAAACAAAACCGTGAGGGCAGAGAGGGGGGGCCCAAAGCGGACAATATCGTGCTAGGGGAGTCGGGTCGTGACAAATTAGCTGACAGGACGCGCCTCAGAATTTCCCTCAAAACCGGGGCGGACCCCGTCTTGGTGCCGACATCACACCGATGCCGGGCCCACTTACTAAAACCCAAGATCTCCTACCAAAAATTTGGCAGAGTCTCCCCTGTAAAATGCTCAAACCCAACAATATTTAACCTGCATAATTTACATGAAATAAATCCCAACTGCCAGCATGCTTTTAACATACAACAATCTCAAAATAAAGTGGCCTCCGGCCTCAAGTATCAATCTAACATGGGCGATAACAGAGCATCTAACAGAATTTGTTTATAACAAACAGTTGAGTAGAAGGGATTTACACAAGTCTTATCTACGGATGAAATGTTTGGAACTCGCAACTTGCTTGAACGCTTCCAAAAGCAAGAGCAACTACTGCCTGGGGGGCGCAAAACAGAAATATGTGAGTGGACAAAAATAAAGTTTGCATTTTAAAACAACATAATAACCCCACCATGTAAAAATAATGCTCTAGCATGCAGTTTCACAATTCAGAAACCAAAAACTCAAAACACATTATCCCAAAATCCAATAAATCTTCAAATCTCAAATCACAAGTCCATTCCCAAAGATATGCAACTCTCATCAACCTGTAAACACACACACATATATATATATAACTATAACTATAATATAATATATACTTCTCTCCATACTAATGTACTGGGGAAACAATCCAACCGGGGGATTGTTAGCTGGTACGCAGGATTTCCGAACACTAACCCGCGTCCAGGGATGAGTAGTCCAACCGGGGGACGAAACTCCATAGCTTACACGCTGGCACTGCCAACGACACGTGTAGCTCATAAATCTCATAACAAGTCCTACGCGCGCAGACAGTATCATCACCCCACCGGAACTTCCAACGACGTGTGTGATAATACTAAGCAATATACATACTCTTCCCATACGCTGGCACTGCCAACGACACATATGGGAAGTGTCTCACACACCGGCACTGCCAACAACATGTGTGAGACCCGCAATTTCATGGCCTTCTCACCCCACCGGCACTGCCAACGACGTGTGTGGGAAGCCTAGTAACTGGGGAATGGTACTCACCTAACATACTCATACATCTCACAACCATCCCTCAAACTCATATCTTTCCACAATCTCACCACAACAACCTCTCATACTCTATACATAGCCAATATAGATAGTCATCCCAAAATCCATATAAACATATTCATCATACTCAAATATATCCATATTCAAAATATATTGCCAATACGTATAAGAATATCCAAATCCATCAACCAAATACTCATTAAATCACATTTACCATTAAAAAATATATGCACAAATCTTTTATCAATAAAACCATGCGAATGCTAGAAAACAAAGTCCACTCACAGATAATCCCAAGCTGCCCGGCCCCGAGAGGGTCCTGCCTGCTGCGAATGGTCGACCGAAGTACCTATTTCGAGATACGAACTCTTGATTAAAATAACGCACTTCAAAACGGAAATTCACAAAAGGAAATACTTAAATCCCCAAGTTCCCGGTGCGTGTACGTCTAATGGAATATCCTAAGGTCCGGTTACAGGTTTGGGAATCGCTTCCCAATCATACGGTTATCGCGATTCTCCAAACTTCAAATTATTGAATCGGAACATCCGGGGCTTTGATTCACGATCCGCGAATTCCTATAGGTTTCTAAGAGTACCTAAATCAACATACTTCAGTTTAGAAACGATCCAACGGTTAGAACTTATCGAAACCGGATAACGCCCAATATGCGAAATTCGTTCGATAGTCAAACGACATCCAAATTGAGATCCGCAAAATCCTACGCACTCGTGGCAACCTAAGAATCTCATCAAGATAAAAAGCAACTTCACCAGCCTTGCCCACGCGCCGCCACACTCGCCGGCAGCGCGTGGGTGTGTAGAGAAATTTCCGACGACGCAAAATCTCCAAATCACAAGCCACCCTTCCAATCCTAGATACTACTAGACAAATGGAGCATCTTCTTCAACTACCACAAGGTCCAATTCGGACGGCAAGTGGCCGGAATTTCACATTGAAAACCGACCAAAACTTAGGTTTCAAAATCAGCTTCCAAACTTCAAAATCGATCCAAACCTACCCCAAAATCAGCTAGAGCACGTAAAAAGGAGAAGAAACCTCACCTGGTTCACCCGAATTGGACGGCGGAGACGGCGGTGCGATGGCACGAAAACCTCTGGTTCGAACCAGTCGGATCTAACGTCGGGATTCGAGGTTTCCGGCAGGGAAATGGGTTGGGTTGTGATCGGGACTTCACGACGAGTCAAACGGGACTGGTGCCGGCCCTTCCCGTTGCCGGAGCTGAGAGAACCGAGGAGAGAGAAAGAGAGAATCGGGGAGAGAGAAACGGAGAAGAGAGAGAGCGTATGCGGGAGAGAGAGAGAGAGAGAGAGAGAGAGAGAGAGAGAGAGTGAGGTAAAAATGAAAAAATCTGATTTTTACCAAACTCTTCGAAATAATTACGGTTCTGCCATCGAACTTATTTTGATCGCCAAAACTTCGTTACAATTCCGATTCAAGCCTACCGCCTGTCTATGGTTTCGTCTCAGTACCACCTACGCAACCAAATCACTCGTGGTCCCAAAATCTTCCTGGATAAGAAAATGACCAAAATTACCATTAACCCAAGAGTAAATTAATAATTTCTCTTAATTTAATTAAAATAGGAAATAATTGGAGTCGGGGTGTTACAGCAGGAACTATAACAAAATGGTGCAACTACATCTATTCGTGGACTTTGAAATAGAAACAAGGTTTGCATCTTTTAATCGCCTCCACTGTATTTCAATTTCTTTCCCTTTTATTAATTTTGATTGTATTTCTCCCCTGTGGTGGAATTGATCATGCTTTTGAATTGGTAATGGCTGGGGACTGTTTGTGCATGAATAAAGGCTTGCCATTGCCCTCGCTGATGTTGTGGGACAGAGCTAGTGTATGTGTACAGAAGTTACGGTATACAATGTTCTCTCTCCCTCTCTTTAATTTCAGTTTTTTTTTTCTTTTACTAGAATTTCGTCAAATATTTTGGTTTAGGGTGACTTTTGATTGCTTAGGCAGGTTAATAAATTAATAAAAAATTAAAAAAAAAGATTAAAATTGATGAATATTTCCATTGTTGGTTGTATTTATTATTTGGTTCTCTTTTGATCTTCCTTTTTAATCGTTTTTGTTGATTGATAGTGATTTTTTTTTTTTATAATAATTGTTTTGGGTTTTGTTTGATTTATGCTCAAAAGAATTGCCCTCAGTAGAGAGATAAATTAGACAAATTTGGGGGAGAGAGAGATTTGATGAACCAAGATAAAGATATTCTGTATAACTATGAACGGCATGTAAGATATAATTTAAGACCTGCATTTAATGTAGGGCATTATCAGACAAACATTTCAAATATTAAGATTTCAAGAAGATTAAGAAGAAGAAAAAAGAGTAAAGATGATGATCCTTTATAGTTTTTATAATCTAATGAAGCATTGGAGTCACCTTCTTTCTTAATGTCAGTGCAGTTTTCTGACTGGTGGCTTTTCCCTAGCCTGTATTTCTGCACAAGAAAACAAAACAGTTTTACAGTTATGCTTTTCCATAATAGTCTGAAAAAAGACTGGATGTGATTAACCAAGAAAAGGGAGAAAAATGCCTGTAAGTGGTTCTTTAGGTGGTACAAAGTGAGTCCATGAATTCCCATCACCCTCATCAAACTCTTTGGTGTGGCCTCTGCCCATATGTGAAACAAAGACATTAGAATTTTGTATAGAAATAGAAAGAAACTAAAAAGGGATTTGAAGAAGAATATCAATCAAGCTTATATACTCAACTGTCTGCCC